ATATCCACAAACTGATTGTAACGAATAACAATCAGTGTATGGATATGAATAACAATCAGTGTGTGGATATTTTGATTTGTAATTTAACATAAATATCGTGGCAGGGCTTTATTTAATTACATTATTAATTTGATAGTAATATATTATCTTACAACCGAGAGAGAAACTCACATATAGATGTAGATGCAGTTTGTCCTACAATACACTAATTTATTTATGGGAGAATGTTAACAGACTCGATGTGTTCGTGGCACATCATTAATGAAAAACATGCGCGTTCAAATGATTGGCACAAAAAGGTCAATGAACCAAGGGTAACATTGAATGGCATATGGAAGAGATGACCATGTAATACAACACCACTTCCTATGCACGTGCGTACAGAAGGTCTCGATCTATGGTTTGTCCGTTTTCGAAGCCCATCTCGGGTCCCAATCAAACACGTAGTAGTGCAACGTTTCTCATCGTACTCTCGTTCTCATTGTTAACTATTAGGAAATCGCGGGAAAACCTTGAAGCCCATCTCGGGTCCCAATCAAACACGTAGTGGTGCAACGTTTCTCATCGTACTCTCGTTCACATTGTTAACTAAATTGCGGAAAAACCTTGAAGTCCGACATGAAATACCAGTATCGCGAGTCTGCCAACATTTACCGGCACTTTTTTGAAGAATCAAGCTTATGCACAAGCATCGAAACTTTACATATTTGACATATTTTACAACTGTAAATTAATTAGCCATGTCTAGCCAAGCACCTCCGGTTTGAGACTCTTTCCCACACCACTGTTATGGTTATACACTGTACATGTAAATTAATGGCAATTTATGAAAATATGACGCTTAAGGTTATACAGGATACTATATTCCCGCGAGCTCTTACATAAAATTGTGTGTGTGTGTGTGTGTGTTATACACTTAATCATGGGAAAAACTATCGAAATAATATAAATATGTGAATGTTGGTATAACAAATTAAAATCAAACGGTTCTTCAAATATAATGGTCATCGCTTTATGTCTACATATACATCACTAAACAAGTTCATGAATACATATATACATCAATAAACAATTACACGTGGGCCGGGCGTGGCCTAGTGGTTGGCGTGTCTGGACAGTGAATCCGTATTTCGTGTCCCGTTGACTTAAAAAAAAACGTTTCTCGCACTTCCGGGTCGTGGGTGCACTATTGATGTGACGATCAAATCCCACTTTGCTGTCAGACAAGATAATCCCAAGGGATGAAGGTGGGTGCTGTTGAGTAATCGCCTCTAGTGTACGAGTTAAAAATTACAGACGGCTATGAGCTGATGGTTCTTGTTTATCTTTTCGCGAAACGTTCACAATCAATCAATCAACAGCATGTACACTAAACAACTTCATACGGGCTAAGTTTGCAGCTTTCAATAAATATTTCTAAAGATGTTTAATTACTACCTCAACTGCAACTCTGAATAATAATTACAGCTCTCTGTTGATTAGTGATTCCACCATATGATCTTATTTAACACTCCTTAAAATTGTCTGATGTGCTTATATAACTAGGCTTAGAAATTTAAGTTGTAAAGTATACACATTTGATTTGAAACTATCAAACTTAAAGTAATCGTGTGCGAAATTATGAGTAAAAATAATTTTTAAAAACACTAAATTAAGAATGAACCTATGCAATGCTTTGTCAATTTTGCAACAATTTGTAGTAATGACTAATGTAGTACCTCAATGCTTTGTCAATTTTGCAACAATTTGTAGTAATGACTAATGTAGTACCTCAATGCTTTGTCAATTTTGCAACAATTTGTAGTAATGACTAATGTAGTACCTCAATGCTTTGTCAATTTTGCAACAATTTGTAGTAATGACTAATGTAGTACCTCAATGCTTTGTCAATTTTGCAACAATTTGTAGTAATGACTAATGTAGTACCTCAATGCTTTGTCAATTTTGCAACAATTTGTAGTAATGACTAATGTAGTACCTCAAAAAAAAAACTTTATCTTTCAGCTTTAAGATTAAGAAGTGGAAATTAAAAATCCTTGATCCACTTCAGATTGAATAATATACCTTTACCAACATGCAACTGGGTCGTTTTGGAATTTCAAGTACAATGGTCTCTCTATTCCCATTGGTTGCAGCATCCAGTGGACAAGATCACGTGCCAGTGCCCCAATAAGCATATGTTTGGGAGACCGAGCTGCCAAACATATATTTTTGATTTTAACCGACTTACTCATTATGTAAACGGAATAGTAGTGTGGCTTATTTTAACAATTTTCTTTCTTTTTTTCGCAACATAAGGTTTACAGATTTATAGAGTTTAGACTTATTGTTTTTCGTAGTCCAAACTTAGCAGCAAGCAGCTCAGTGTTTTAAAGATTTCTTCTACTGGTGTCTTCTAGATATTTATCACAGAGTTTGGCAAGTTACTCATTTTACTAAACTTTCCATTATCATTTTCAGCTGAGCTAACCCTATGTTCAAGGGAAAGCTTTAGAACGGCTGAAGGACTAGGTGGTATTATTCACTCAATCTTCATGTATATTAAAATACATAGTAATGCTTTCTGAATGTAATTAATATACGATCAACCAGCAAATGTACAACGTTTCGACAAGATTTTGTTCTATATTAAACTTGTAATAAGGTTTTCTTCATTGCCCATTCAAATCGTCTTCAATTTTTTTTGTCTCAAAATGGGTTCCTTTTCATTTCAACTCTAAATTGGCAATTCAAATTAAAAAGTTAAATCTATCCATCCACGTCCTGATGTGCAAACTGATGTGCTATTCATTTTTTTCAGTTAACATTTTTAACAACTACAAAAACAAACTTTATTTGGTATCTGTCTTCATTCTTTCACAGTTTCTGTACCATCTATCTAGCCAGGTCCTTAAATCTTTCGTGTGACATTCTGTAGACCCTACACAGAGAATACACAAGAGATTAAAAGCATGTTGGTAAAAACATGATTAGTTTCGAAGTATTAAGAAATGCAGAAAAGTTTATTTTTCGTGAATTTCAACACGTTCTTTTAAGCCTTTTCTTTCTGTATTACTCCCTTGAAGCCCATGAAAGTGTGTATAAAGAACGTGTATATAAACCACAATTATACTCCTTAGAACGATAGAAACCCCTGTTTAAACCGTTCTAAACAGCAGTTGAACCAAATTGACCCTTAAGCCGTCTGGTATACGAAAATTCTTTCACCAGTAAACGCGCGGATTCATATTTCAGCATACACGTTAAAACATTCCAAATTCTTTTTTATTAAGCAGTTTGCTGACCTTGCACTATTTGAAATATTATAATATCAATTTGCATCATTTTTTTTTTTTACTTCAGAAAAGGATTTGCGTTTATTTGTTTGTTGAATTTCCAGGACTATCTGCGCTAGCCATCCCTAATTTTCAGATGATATACAATAAAGAACGCAGCTAGTCAACACCACCCACCGCCAACTCTTAGGCTATTCTTTCAACTACAAATAGTGTGATTAACCGTCACTAAATAATGTCCAAATAAAAGAAATAAACAACATCTTACCCTTTGGAATCGGTAGCATTAACATCAGCACCAAAGTGAAGGAGTAGCATGACTAGATCACGGTTGCCTAGAGAAAAACAGACGAACAAATTAGCTGATGGCAGAGAAGTAGGTCAAAACCAACTGATGCAAGTTGACAACCTTATTTCAACATCAACCAGTTGATCTTACGAGGATTGACACTGTAATAAGTGCAACAGAAACAATCTTTATAAACATCGGAAACCGCAGAGAAAACATTTTAAACTTGCATTAGATAATAAACACAATTCGTCTCTTTTTAACATAAATTTTCCAAACACAACTCGTTTTATGAAAAAAGGATTGCCTGGGTTGTTATGTTGCTACTCTCGAAGCCGGCGTGTGGTTACTCTTGAAACCAGCCTATTCTTGGAAATTCGCTAAAATCCTTAGGAAATTTATTAATTTTTTAAAATAGAAAATCCAACAACTTCTGTTTCATGTGTACCAAATTATTTTATATAATTTTAGATGTAATTATCACATTTAAGACAAAATACGACATAAAAAACACTATTTTCTTAATTACACTCGCACGACGTTAGAAAATAAATCAAACATTTCTTTAACGCAGTAACGAAGACCTGCAGTCTTGAAACTGAACGATAAACCAAATTAATAACTTCCAATGTAAATTTATACAACGCGCAGCAAAGGAGTAAATAATTCATGCAAATGGTTTCTACAGATAGAAAGATACCAAACTTACCGTTCAGTACAGCCAAGATGAGTGGAGTTGATCCTGTGCTAGGCTCGTGGCAGTTAATATTCACGTGAGTGACCTTTTCCTTGGTTTGAAGGTCTAGTAGTAATTCGCGTTCTTTATGAAGAGCCCCTGTTTCTTTGCCCGATTTACCAGCAACAGAAAGGTGTTTTCTGCAGCAGGTCAAAAGTTTCTATGAAGAAAAAGGGTAATGTTAACTACATGGGATGAATTTCTTTAAATCTCAGCTCTCGCAGTCTACGCATGCGCATGCATGAAAATATCTGACGATTGGAACTGTATCCCACGAGTTTTTTTATATCAGATGCATAATATGTATGTGCAGAAGTCACGAGGTAATGGGAAGTTTTGTCTCTTTGCTCTCCCAGTGTACTGATTCAAGTGTAATATCCTGTGAACTACCAACTTTACAGAAAAAAACACGTGTATAACACAAAGTAACTTCGAAAAACCAGCTAGGTTTTGGTTTTGAATTATAACAGTGTTTATCACAAAACTTTTAATACCATACTCACCGCCCCCAGTGGCTTTGCGGTAATTCTATGGACTTATAACGCTAAAACTTGGGTTTCGATACTGTGGTGGGCACAGCACAGATAGCCCATCTTGTAGCTTTTAGCTTAACAACAAGCAAACAAACCATACTCACCACAGTTCAATAAAAAAACGAGCGTTGGAACTATACCAAATTGTTATCTATTTCGGCTCCCACGACTATCCATGACAGGCTATAGTAACACTTAGAGGTAAGACGACTATCCATGACAGGGTGTAGTAACAATCAGAGGTAAGACGACTATCCATGACAGGCTATAGTAACAATTAGAGGTAAGACGACTATCCATGACAGGGTGTAGTAACAATTAGAAATAAGACGACTATCCATGACAGGATATGGTAGGGATTAGAGGTAAGGCGACTATCCGTGAAAGGCTGTGGTATAGATTAGAGGTAAGACGACTATCCGTGACAGGCTATAGTAACAATTAGAGGTAAGACGACTATCCATGACAGACTATGGTTGAGATTACAGGTAAGACGACTATCCGTGACAGGCTGTGTTATAGATTAGAGGTAAGGCGACTATCCGTGACAGGCTGTGTTATAGATTAGAGGTAAGGCGACTATCCGTGAAAGGCTGTGGTATAGATTAGAGGTAAGACGACTATCCGTGACAAGCTATAGTAACAATTAGAGGTAAGATGACTATCCGTGACAGGCTGTGGTATAGATTAGAGGTTCTGACGATTATCCGTGACAGGTTGTGGTATAGGTTAGAGGTAAGGCGACAATCCATGAGAGGCTATAGTATAGATTAGAGGCAAGACGACTATCCGTGACAGGCTATGGTATATATTAGAGGTAAGATGACTATCCGTGACGGACTATATGGTAACAATTACAGTTAGGACGATCATCCATTGAATACCATGGTATCATATTCAGTTAAGATAGTTACCCGTTACAGACTGTAGCATTGCTATAGCTACTTGCACGTCTGACAGAATACAAATATTACTTAACGTAACAATCGCCGTATCAATGATCGCTATATATATATTACAGGCTGTGATTATTACCTAATTCAGTAATGCAGCCGTTACTGCTATACTTGAGAGACTATTACACTAAGACTTAACGAAAGCAACCATAACTACTATGTATATGAGACGTTGGTGTATGTCTATTATCTAATGTGGTATGCAATGTTACCATATATTTCCTACTTACTTAGTTTAAACATAAAGTTTTCAACATTTCTGTATATATTTAACATGTATTCTTAACATAGAAAGTCTCCTTGCGCCCTAGCTACCCACTGATCTAGGTCATTCAGTAGGGTATCACGTGTGTCTTCTCGTGGGAAAGATCTTCTCTATTGGTAAGTCTGATGATGTTCAAGGGATAATACATCCATTGTTTTGTAGTAAGAGTAGCCGTCAGTTACGTGGGCGGCGCTTGCAGTGTCTTATTGTTCTTCAAACCCAATCGAATTTGTCAGAACTCGGATTTTCTAGGGATTCTCCAGTAGTTCTGCGATTCCTACACGGAAATTAGTGAGCCTCGGAATACCACATTATTACAACCATAACTGCCATATACATGACAGGCCATGACTGTTACTCCACACATACATACATATAGACGAGGTATGACTATTACCTAATGTAGCCCTGACCACTAGATACGACAGGCTATGACCATTAGTTAATACAACCATGATTGCAAAGTATGACAGGCCATTACTATTACCTCATGCAACTATGATTACTAGATATGACTGGGTATATGATTCACAACTTATGTTAATATCGTATTATGGCTCTGAGATTTGGGATTTCATCCAGCTCCCGACTTACAGCGTATCCATACAATCTTTTGTATATTTATTTTAGGTTTACTGTGTAATGTAGTAGCAGATTCCATGATGTGGGAAAGCTCAAATATAGGTTTAAGTTACAAAGATTAGCATATAACAGATATCAAAGGCTAGCTTACGTAGACTGAGAATGCTTGATGAAAATGGGAAAGCAGGATTGGTCTTCAGACTTTAGATCAATGTTATGTTGGATTAAAAGAGAAATGGGGGGGGGATTGGACTTCAGACTTGGGTTTTGCAAATGCATGGTTTAATAAAAATATACAAAATGACTTGGTTTCTTTTGAATTTCGCGCAAAGCTACACGAAGGCTATCTACGCTAGCCGTCCCTAATTTAGCAGCTAGGAATACTAAATGGAAAGGCAGCTAGTCATCACCACCCACCGCCAACTCTTAGACTACTCTTTACCAACGAATAGTGGGATTGGCCGTCACATTATAACACCGCCATGGCTGAAAGGACGAGCATGTTTGGTGGGACGGGAATTCGAACCCACGACCCTCAGATTGCGAGTCAAGCACCCTAACCACCTGGTCATGCCGGGCATAGGAAATGAACCCGAGTCTTGAGTTTTATTAAATGTTTAGAAAAAAATTAAAATTATCTTCTTGGAGTGTTAAGAATTGAAGACGCAAACAATAATAATAACAAATAAACTAAAGAAAAGTTGTCCTTTTTATGATAGGACGTAGCATGGCCTGATGGTTAGGGCGATCGAACCACAATCTGAGGGTCGCGGGTTCGAATCCCCGTCCCACCAAACATGCGTATCCTTTCAGCCATGGGGGCGTTATAAAGTTACAGTCAAGAGTTATTTATTGACTAGCTGCCTCTCATGTCTATCACTGCTAGATTAGGGACGGTTAGCGAAGATAGTCCTCGTGTAAAGAAGGTTCCTTTTACCTGTTCGTAACTTACTCGGTAAGACAGACATGTATTATTATACTATAAAACCATCGAGAGAGAGAGGTTATTACTACCTTTAAAAACTACACACGGTATAACTACAATAAAGTGGTGAAAATATATTTTTAATTAAAAAACTTGATGGCCTGTCATAAATATGATGTAGTTGCGAATACAAAATAATGTCAATGAATAGAAAACTGATATAACAAGTGTTAAAGAAATTATTGATTTCATTACGATAACAAGCGTTTGTTCCATGTAATATTGCGCTAAAACGGGAATAACTACTAGTTTGTGTATAGGAAATATCTATTCTATACATCAAAGGCCCGGCATGGCCAGGTGGTTAGGGCACTCGACTCGCAATCTGAGGGTCGCGGGTTCGAATCCCCGTCCCACTAAACATGCTCGCCCTTTCAGCCGTGGGGGCGTTATAATGTTGCGGTCAATCCCACTATTCGTTGGTAAAAGAGTAGCCCAAGAGTTGGCGGTGGGTGGTGATGACTAGCTGCCTTCCCTCTAGTCTTACACTGCTAAATTAGGGACGTCTAGCGCAGATAGCCCTCGTGTAACTTTGCGCGAAATTCAAAAACAAACAAACTATACATCAAAGTGTACGCAACGGTTTTTTTGATATTATTTCGTTATATTTTAAATTTTTCCTATTTGATAATAGTTCGTAACGTATTTACATTTATTTATATCTATATATTTTCGCATTTCATATAATAAATCGAGTAGTTTTGAAATAACTGAATACGATTTCAAAACATTTAAAATTGACAATAACGCCTCGTTAGAAACCACACATTTATAGGTAGCTGGTTTATTTGTTATTAAACTCAAAACGGGCAAGGATCGAATCCAGAATTTTATCTTTAGAAGCCCTCAAGCTTATCGCCGAGAGTCCCGCAGTGGGATAGCGTTAAGTCTTCGGACGCTAAAGTCCGGGTTTCGATCCAGATAGCCTGTTGTGTGGTACAAACAACAACAAACGTTATCATTGAGAGGTGCCCTTAGATAACCAAGATAAAACGTTTCACAAGAATGGTTACCATCACAGACTTTGTTATTAATCCCCAACTTTTTCTTTCACACTGCAATGTTATAATCAGCACGTTTTGAAATGCAACTCAGTGAGTGTAGACCTAGGGGTTAGCGTTGAATCGCATGGTGCACAGTTCGCGTCCATTCCACTAAGAAACTGCGCTTCGCACTTTGGAGTCGAAGGTGGATTATAAAAGTGACGGTCAAACCCCACTGTTCGGTTAGACAAGAGTAGCCTAAAAGTTGGCGTTGGATGCTGTTGAGTAGTTACCTTTCCTCAAGTTTATTAATTCATACTTAGGTACGGCTATTCGGTTAGACAAGAGTAGCCTAAGAGTTGGCGGTGGATGCTGTTGAGTAATTACCTTTCCTCAATTTTATTAATTCAAACTTAGGCACGTCTATGTGCAGATCGTCCTTACGTAGCTTTGCACAAACGCTGTAAATCAATCAATCAAATAAATAAGGAGCATAAATCCCCAAATATGGATATTAGTAGTACGATACGTGCAATAGTTACAATACACGAACTACTGTGTACACTGGGAGCTTCATAGTACCACGTTTAAACCTACACCTGTCCTTTGTATCGCATGTGATACACAGGACATAATGCTAAAGTACCTCAATATTATATATGATACACAGGACATAATGCTAAAGCAGCTGGGTATCAACTACAACACTGGTCTCTTGATAGTATTGTGAAACATTGTTGAATGAATACAATATGACTTCACTATACCCGATGTGAACAGTAGAAAACACCAGTGTTTCCCAAAGTGGGAGCCGCAGCTTCTTGGGGGCCGTGAAGCTTTTTGTCTGGGGGGCTGC